TTTGGCCAGATATCAAACTCTGGAGTAAGGAACAGGGGACCCCAGGGACTGGGCCTCCTTCCCATAGAAAGCTTGAGGTTGGAGTGGGAAAAAGAGGGAGGAAAGAAGCTGGAGTCTTGGCTGGGAAACCAGGACTCTGCGGTGCCCACAGGGCGGCGTGGTTGGAAGGAGGTCCGCCAGGCTGGCTCCCTGGGAGGCAGTAGCCTGAGAAGGTGGTGCAGGCAGAGAAGAGAGTCTGCCTGGTGTGTGGGGAGGGTGGGGGTAGGAGTGGGGTTGGGATTGGTTAAAGAGAGCCCAGGCTGGCCCTGTGTCTGGGACAGCTGCACAAACTAGCTAGGCTTAAAGTTCCCTGGTCCCTTGGTCCAATTCTTATGGAGATCCTGCCTATTTTCCTTCCATGAGACCACCTCAAATCATGGGGACCTTTTCCTCCGCCTTAGGTGGAGAACATGGAGTGTGTTCATCTACCCCACCCACAGTCCTTAACTGCCAGTTTCCCACCTGCTCAAGAAGCCCCCAGACATAGGGCTGAGTCCTTCCCTAGCATATATAAGACCCTGGGTTCCATCCCCAGAACCAATAAAAGAAAATCCCCAGATCTACCTGCTTGAGAACAAAACCCACAGACACAGTTGAGGGCACTCTTCTGATAATCTATGTCTAAAGTAAATTTCCTCAGAACTTTCTAGGTAGTTAAGGCAAAAGATCCTTACAGTCATCTGTCCAAGAGCTGGCAATGAGGCCAGAGGATCCATGACAAGAAAAGGATGAACTTCTGTCTTCTGAAGCCTGCCCTTTAGCATGGGTGAGAGGGTAGAGGTCAGGAATACGTTCTCTGTAGCCAGAAAAAAACTTGTGATTTGAGACTTCAGGGCTGTAGTTTGTGCTGGGCTCGCTAAGCCTAAGTGTGGGCTGTAGCTGCCCCCAAGCCCTGTTGCGCCCTCTCCCAGCACATACAGGCTGTCTTAAGAGGAAGACAGAGAAGGCCCAGCCTGAAAGAAATGTGGGCTCTTGAGGAGACTGGGTGGGATGTGGCTGGGAGCTGGCCCTGCAGCCTAGCAGGTCTAGAGATGAGTTGTTCTGGGCCAGAGGTTCATCAGGACCTGCCTCAAAGACTCTTTTATCTTTTCCCACCCTCTCCTGGCCCTACAGACAGATGTGCATACTTACAGTATGGCTGTCAGTTGAGATGTTCCAATTGAACACAATACACTCCAATTCCCACGACACTGTACACATACAATGAAGAAAAGTATCCTATTAATGATTTTGCGTGTGTGTGCGCGCGCGCGCATGCGCGTGCACCAGTCCTAGGGCTTGAACTCCAGGCCTGGGCACTGTCTCTGAGCTTCTTTTTTTTTTTTTTTTTAAATTTTGTTTTTGGTTCGGTCGTGGGGCCTGAACTCTGGGCCTGGACGCTGTCCCTCAGCTCTTCAGCTCAAGGCTAGCGCTCTACCACTTGACCCACAGCGCCACTTCCAGCTTTTTTCTTTTTGCTTATGTGGTGCTGAGGAGTCGAACCCATGCAAGGCAAGCACTCTACCACTGAGCCACCTTCCCAGCCCCTCTGAGCTTCTTTTGTTCAAGGCTAGTTTTTTTCTGTGTATGTGGTACTGAGGAATGGAACCCAGGGCTTCATGCTTGCAGGGCAAGCACTCTACCACTGAGCCACCTTCCCAGCCCCTGATTTTGCATATTAATTACATTCTGAAATGATAATATCCTATGGAGAGTTGGGCTGTGTGTATGTGTGTGCAAGCACGCATACACACTCGTGTGCACAATAATCAGGCCTTAGTCAAGGCCTTCCAGTCAGCACTCTACCATTTGAGTTATACCTCAAAGCCCTTTTTGGCGTTAGGTTTTGTTGGTGGTGGTAGTGCCAATCCTGGGGCTTGAACTCAGGGCCTGGGTGCTGTCCCTATGCTTCTTTTGCTCAAGGCTGCACTTCACAGCTCCACTTCCAGCTTTTTTGGTAGTTTATTAGAAATAAGAGTCTCATGGGCTTTCCTGCTTAGATTGGCTTTGAATGGAAACACCCAGATCTCAGCCTCCTGAGTAGCTAGGATTACAGGTGTGAGCCACAAGCACCTAGTTGCTTTAGTTATTTTTTCAGGCAGGGTCTCAAATGTTTTATTTGGGTAGGTCTCCTACTGTGATCCTCCTACCTTTGGTCATCCACTTAGATCATAGACACACACCTCTATGGCTGGCTCCTTAATTGAGATGGTGGAGTCTCACTACTTTTTGCCTGGGCTGACCTCAAGCTGATCCTCCTGATCTCTCAGCAACTGGGATTGCAGGCATGATCCACCATGGCCAACAATAAGATTCTTTTTATTTGTGTGTGTGTGTGTGTGTGTGTGTGCATGTGTGCGTGCGTGTGTGTGTGCGTGTGTGTGTGTGTGCCAGACCTGGAGCTTGAACTTAGGGCCTGGAAACTGTCCCTGAGTTTTTATGGTCAAGGCTAGCATTCTACCACTTAAGCCATAGCTCTACTTTGGGCTTTTTAGTGGTTAATTTGAGATAAGAGTCTCACAGACTTTCCTGCCCACGCTGGCTTTCAACTATTATCTTCAGATCTCAGCCTCCTGAGTAGTTAGAATTACAGGCATGAGCAGCACCCAGCTAATTCTTTATTTTTTAAGTTTTTGTTTTAATGTAACACTTGAAAATTTAAAATGACATATGAATTTGCAGTTTACTTTTTATTTCTAAGGGCCAGCTGTAAGCTGAAGTATTTAGTAAAGTGAAAGGGGTGAGGGGTGATGACTGATCGTCTGGGCTGAGCCCTCTGAGCTTCTTTGAACGTGGTTCTCATATGGGAATCCTAGGTTTTAATCTTGGGGATTGTGAAGTAGGAAAACTTTTTCATATTCTATTTTTATTTATTTATTTATTTTGGTCGGTCATGGGGCTTGAACTCTGGGCCTGGGCACTGTCCCTTAGCTCTTCAAGGCTAGCGCTCTACCACTTGAGTCATAGTGCCGCTTCCGGTTTTGTGAGTGGTTTATTAGAGATAAGAGTCTTATAGACTTTCCTGCCCGGGCTGGCTTTGAACCTCAATCCTCAAATCTCAGCCTCCTGAGTAGCTAGGATTACAGGCGTGAGCCACTGGTGCCCAACAAAGCTCTTGTTTTTATATTAAAGTACTGTGAGTAAATTTTTTTTCTTCAGTGCTGGGTTGGAACCCAGGATCTCATGCACAGTACGCAACTGCACTTCCACTAAGCTATATCCTCAGCCCTTGCATATGCCTTTTGAAATAGCAACATGATGATGACTATGATGGTGGTGGTGGTGGTGGTGGTGGTGGTGGTGGTGGTGGTGGTGTGTGTTTGTGTGTGTGTATTTTGGAAACCCAGCAATACTCCCTGAGTCATTCTTCATGCCCTGTGGGAAACTCTCACAGTTGGAGGTACCATAGACTGTGAGTAGAAGGGAGGAGGAAGTATATCTAAAGGGGAAAAAGGAAAGGAGATTGAAAACTCCATCCTTTCCCTTGGACACAGAAAGCCACCTCCATCTACTTCCATCTTGGCCATTATCTGGGAACCTGTTGAAGATGGAGCAGGAAGCTGGGCTGTAGCTCACTGGTAGCATGCTTGTCCCAGGCATCATACTTTAGAGAAGAAAAATAAAAAAGTGAAGGGGATTGTCTGGCTGGCTCTAGTCAGTGAGCAAAAGTGTCAGGTAACAAGTTTGAGTCCTGATCTCTGGGGAGAGGGGATGGGGGGGGAAGGAGGGAGGGAGGAGGAGGAAGAGAGGGAGAGAGAGAATGAAGAAGGAGCAGCTAGCCCAGTGGACGCCTTAGGCCGCCTCATCTTGGGCTGATCCTCCAACCCACCTCCAGGAAGTCTGGGGCAGATATCTGACTGCTCTTCTTGCCTAGTCACCTTTCCTGCCCTAACTGCCCAGCCCAGAGGTTGCCCACTCTAGAGAATGCCTGAGGTCTGATCCTCAGGCCTTCTGCTCAGTACTCTGTCAAGTAAGAACTGATAAAAGAAACTCTTGAGGTTAGAGGCATGGATCCAGTGGTAGAGCTCCAGCCAGTGAGCAAAAGCGTCAGATACAGAGTTTGAGTCAGGGCCTCAGACAAAAAGAAAAAAAAAAAAAAAAGGAAACGCTGCCCAGCCCAGGGCAGGCAAGGGTTTGAGCTGAGAGGCTCATTAAAGCTTTCTAATAAGCAATTAACTGTCCAAGATGAGCCCTTTTGCTAGTCTGAACTTCCCTCTTCCCTGTGGGACTCTGGCAGGGAAAGGCTGAGTGGGCAGGCAGAGATCTCCTCTAAACACAAATGAGTAAATAAACAAAACTCAGAGTGGGCAATACAAAGCCTGGAACAGCCTTAGGCTTGATCAGTCTTCTGCCAGGCTGCAGACAGGTCTAGAGAAGCAGGGGTACAGCAGCAGTAAACCCGGGCTCTCTATAGTCACCTTCTTGTGGAATCCTTGGCTTCCAGGGGGTAGTGTGGTCAAGGGACACTACCTTTCTCCAGAACTGCTGGGCTGCCTGTCTACCTGGAGCCAAATCCTGGCCCCAATGAGGTCAGCTCCCCCACACCACACACACACACACACACACACACGATGAGGTCAGCTCCCCCACACCACACACACACACACACACACACACACACACACACACCTCCACAACTCCACTCTGCTCTGGATAAAGAGCAGGAAGTTGGAACAAGGGGGGCTCTGTGACAACCATGATGATGGTGATGTCTGTCCCAGGGCTTCAGAGTTGAAAAGGAGCTCAGCCTACCTGCACATAGAGTCCCAAGTCCAATCCTGTCTGTGGGAAGACTCGGGGCAGTGAAATGTCTGTGTCGTGTCTGCACTGTTCACTCTAAGTCTTCTGGAGTGGAGAGTGGGGCATCAGCTGCACACCTCCAGGGATAGTTACACCAACGCCTGGTGTGCGCCTGGGTCCCACTGCAGCTGTACTTGAGGGCGGGCCTCTGACAGCACCCTCTGTCTGTGTTCTTCCTTCAGGCTCTTAAGTAACAACAAGATCACTGTGCTCCGCAATGGCTCCTTCCTGGGACTGTCTCTCCTGGAAAAGCTGTAAGTGCTAAGAGGGTGGGGTGGGGAGGTGTCGGCCACGGGGGCAAACTGGCTGTGGGGAGCTTGAGAAATTTTGGTTTCTGAGTGAACACAGACCTGCAGGTCCACCTCAGAGGTAGGACCTGACTACCAGCTAAGGACAGAGTGGGCTGGGCTGAGCTGGGAGAGATCAGCTCCTGGCCAGCAGGTGACTGAACACTAAGAAGGGAGTCCTCTTTTGTACAGGCAGGGAGGAGCTAAGGGAAGCTCATTAACGCTCTTTAATGAGCAATTAGCTGAGAGGGCTGAGTGCTTTAGCTGACCTCCTCCTCCCATCTGGGGGCTCAGCATGAAAGGGCTGAGAGAGCCTTAATGTGACTGAGGCCTCTTTCCTTCTTCCAGAAAAACAAATCAACAAACAAAGGCAGGAGGGGGGCCTGAGTTCTGGGTTGAGGGTGGCCAAGCTGATTCTCTCAGCCTCCTCTCCCCCACCCTTGCCCTGGATTAAAGGTGCAACCAAGGGCAGCAGTATCCTTCAGGCTGCCTGGGCCCACCAGCCCAACCAGAATTGAAGCCTCCCTCCACCCTCACCCCTCCACCAGGCTGAGGACCCCTGAGGTCTGTTTGCAGCCAGTTTTGGGGAAAAGTGAGGAGGAGCTAGAGGCTGAGGTGCATTGTCCAGATGCCTGCAAAAGGCCTGACCTCTACTCAGCCACAACAAGGGTGTTCAGAGGACAGGGGAGAGGTGGGATAAGCCTGAGCTGGACATCTGACTCTACCACTTGGGCAAGGCACTAGGCTGCCAAGTGAGAAGCTTGCGTCAGTCCCTCAGAATCCCCTCTTCCACTAGCACGCTTTCAGAACCACAGCCTGTACCAACCACATTGTGTCTGCATTCTCTCCACCTCTCTCTTGTCTCTCCTGAGGATGGATTCTTGCTTTTTTCTCTCACCCCCAATCCTCTCTGGCATCTCTGTGGTAAGACATTCCCAGGTCCTTCACCAGGGCCTTTGGCAAGGTCTAATACCATTTTGCTCAAACTCTTTAAGATAGTTCAATCAATGGGAGACTCGAGTATAGTGGAGACCTCAAATGATGCCAATTACATCTGTATTAAGGAGGTTGGGGGCTTCTTTCTGTCAAGTTCAAGGGAGGCTTCTGTGAAGGCTGGAAGGCTTAAGGACACTGGAGATTGTCTAACATGATGTGGTATTTTGAGAACTCTATGAGAATCCTCCCCCCCACACCCCCACCCAGCCCAGCATCCAAGTCCACATAGGGGCAGAAAATCCCAATGTGGGGCAGGTCGGAACTTCTGGGAGTCCTGATTGGACACAGCTCTGTGCTCTGTAGCTCACAACAGAGTGGTCCTAGTCCCCAAGGCACTTCCACATCTTAGGTTCAATGGGGGAACATTTAAATCTCCTACAAATCATTAAGCATTTGGAGCTGAATCCTCCTTTGGACAGGCCTGGTCTTAGACAGCAATTGCCGGAAACCCAATGCTCCTTTGGGGCTTTTTGGAGGAAGATGAATTGCAGCTGAGTCTCTGGTTCCTTCCCATTCCCCACGCGCCAGTGCTACCTCAGTGACTCCTTCTTCTCAGGTACTGCCAGTAGGCAAGTACTGCTCTGAGCCTCAGATCATCTCATGGCAATCCTCCCGGTCCCCCATCCTCTCATTCAAGCTGCCCCCTTCCCTTGGTCCTGTAGTCCCATGAGCACAATTTTCTGATGAGGATAAAAAGATGAGTTCCCCCATCCCCCACTCCCCTGCATGTTAATAATGTACTGAATCCTAGCCCTCTGTCCACCACCAGGAGCCCACACAGCAGGGGCATTGAAAGCATGGGAAAGACTCTAGTGTGGAGGACAATCGAGAGACTCACGAGAGATGGGCATCGACTCAGCGCCGAGCCGTGGGTATGGGAGGAGCACGGGCATGAGAAAGGGCACTAGAGCAAGAATTCCCAACCCTGAGCATGAGCCCTTGCCGCTATGAATCACCCCATTCACTCATCTGACAGATGTTTATGGAGCCTCACCATGTGCTGGGCTCTGTTCCTGGGGCCCGCCAAGTGCAAATGCTGCCTCCATGTCACTCCCCTGTCCTGCCAGAGCCCAGGGAACAGCTAGTACCTGTCATGTGTTGAGGGACAAGGAAAACCAATCAGGGTAAGGGAAACAGAAGGCAAGAGGTTGGGTGCTATTTAATGCAGCGAGGGCAAGGAAGGTCTTGCTGATCAGGTGATCCAGACCTGAAGGGCTGGAGAGAGAAAGCTGCATAGCTATCTAGAGGGAGGCATGGAGACGAGATGGCAGTCATGACAAAGGCCCAGTCTAGGAAATACCTGTGCTTGAGAAACAGAAGAGAAGGACACACCAGGCAGTGTACAGCTGTAGTCCAAGCTCCTAGAGAGGCTGAAGCAAGATTACTTGAGCCTAGGAGTTTGAAGCCAGATTGGGCAACATGGCAAGAAACCAAAAAGAAGGAAGAGGAGGAGGAGGAGGAAGGGGAAGGGGAGAGTGTGAGTCAAAGGGAGCAAGGGGAAGAAAAGTGGTAGGAGTCAAGGGCGGAGTGATCAGGGGTGGGGGCCAGTCCTGGGGCAGGAGGCAGAGGGATTTGTAAGGTGCACTGTGGCTTTTCAATCCTGTGATCTGGCCAGGCAAGGTGGCTCAAGGCTATAATCCTAACTACTTGGGAGGTGAAGATTAGAGGCCAGCCTGGGTAAAAAGAAGCTCACAAGACTCCATCTCAACCAATGACTGGAAGCATTGCTGTGCACCTGTCCTTCCTAGCGACATGAGGAACTACAAGGAAGAAGATTGCAGTCCAGGCTGCCTGCAAAAGGGGGCTGGAGGCTTTGACTCAAGTGGTAGAGTGCCTACCTAGTAAGCGTGAGGCCTTGAGTTTAATACCCAGTAACATGCTGCACTCCCCTCAAAAAAAAATTTGTTGTGATTCTTGGATGTGAGTGGTGCTCTCAGTGCTACACCCTGGGCAGGCTCTCTGGAGGAGTTTCCAGGCAGAGGGGTGTTCTGTGTATGGCAGGATCGGGAGAATGTCTGAACCGGGATGGTGAGGCACAGGGTTCCCATTCTGTTGACCTCTACTGTGTTGATATAAATGAGGACAAGGCAAGCCAGTAGACCTGAAAGTCAGGCAGCAGGTGCTGCAGCTGTCTGGAGGCACAATTTCTTTTCCAAGAAAACCTGTTTTTCCTCTTAAGACTTTCGACTACATTGTCAGGGATAATCTCTTTAAGATAACTGATGGTGCCTGGTGCCGGTGGCTCACACCTGTACTCAGGAGGCTGAGATCTGAGGATCATGGTTCAAAGGCAGCCTGGGCAGGAAAGTCCATGAGACTATCTCCAATAAACCACTAGAAAACCGGAAGTGGCTCTGTGGCTCAAGTGGTAGAGCGCTAGCCTTGAGCTGAAGAACTGAGGGACAGTGCCCAGAGTTCAAGCCCCATGACTGACAAAAAGAAAAAAAAAAGATAACAATTGTAGGTCTTAACCTCATCCACAAAAATACCTTCACAGGGTCTAGGTCAATGACATTTTGTGATTGTTTGCTTTTCGGGCTTTTTTGTTTGTTTATTTGGCAGGGTCTTGCCTTGTGTAGCCTTGACTGGCCTTGAACTTAACTCATACCCTAACCTCCTGTGTTCTGTGATTACAGGCAGGTACCCTCATGTTCAGGCTTTTTGTGGGTTTTTTGTTTTGTTTTGTTTTTATAGTTTTTGAGACAGGGTCTTGCTACGTAGCCCAGGCTGGCTTCAACTTCTGAACCTGACCCTTTGTGCTTCAACCTTCAAAGTAAACTAGAACTACATGTGTGGGTCACTGCACCTGGCTAGATTAGTGTTTGACTAAATCACTTGGGTATTATAGCCTGGCCATGCTGACACACAAAACAAACCATCACCAGGGCGAGAAGAGGACTCGAAATCCTGTAGCCCTCTTCTAGAAGTGTTAAAGCATTGAGTCAGAGGAGGCAGCTTACTATCCCATAGTCTACAGGCAGCAAGGCCTTGGGAGGTTGGGGTTTAGGCTATTAACTACTGCACTGTTAGGTCCAGAGTACTTTAAAATGTGCCTATGTGCCTCCTGGTGCTGAGAGCTCCTCAGACCATTGCGAGTGGGCCATGTGTAAATGTGGGAGGTCACCGTGCTGGCTAAGAGTGGGCAGTAGGCTTTTCTGCTATCTGTTTTACAGTGTAGGATTCTGACTTAGGCTGGGGAGGGTGTAGGCAGGTAGATGGTGACATATGTGTTAGGGTTGGCAGGAAGGACAGCGGAAGGGAGACAGAGCAGACTCAGTTGAATATGTCTGAGGGGATCTTAAGGGAGTAGAACTAGGGACTCACCCAGAGTTGAGTACTATGAACCAGAAAAACTTGTAATAGGACCAGCAGAGGTGGTTAATGGTCAGCCCAGGAATGCCTATCCCTGAGCCCTCCTCTAGGTGTCCTGACCTTGGAAGAACTCCAACTTGCAAGAAGTTGGACTGGCTGTTTGTCATTTATAGAGTTATCCAAACTTCTCAGCATGACCAGGTAATGATAGATCTAAAATATAAATCCATCAGAGCACCCCTGCCATACCCTTTTCTTCTGTGGTGCTGGGGATGGAACCCAGGCCTCATATGTATTAAGCAAGCACTCTTCCACTGAGCCACACCACCAGAAATAAATGACCCTTTGCTATCTCTGATCCCTCATCAACTACATGCAATGTGCAACACTCTTGAGAAGACTTTGGGAGCTCCAGGGGTGTTCTTTTTTTTTTTTTTTGTTCGTGGGGTTGATATCTGAGCCTGGTTCTGTTTATGTGTCTATGACTTTTTTTTTTTTTTTTTTTTTTGGTCGTGGGGCTTGAACTGTGGGCCTGGGCGCTGTTCAGCTCAAGGCAAGCGCTTTACCACTTGAGCCACAGTGCCACTTCCAGCTTTTTCTGTGCATGCGGTTCTGAGGAATGGAACCCAGGGCCTCATGCATGCACGGCAAGCACTCTA